GCATCAAACTGAGCTACCTGTTTTTTCCTCTCTTCAATTTTCTGACAGATCCTCGGACAAATATGAGACTTCACCTTCTGAATCCAGTCTCTTTTTTCTTGAAATCTGCACATAATCTGTCTTCGAATGGCCTCAAACATAGTCAAAATAGGCTCTTCCCTAGCTTCCTTAATGTATTGATTGAAGCTCTCACATATATTATTACTTAAAAGGTCACATTTTGTCCTTGGAGAAAAGGTGTGTCTGGCCCATAGGTTAGCTGGTATGGAACTAAGCCATGCATGTGCTTCTGGGGCTACTAAATGTAACTCTCTCATTTTGCTTTCATAATGACAGGGTAAATAAGCCCTGGCTGCCCCCCACATTAAATCTCTTAGGTGCTTATCCTTGAATTTCAGTTTGAAATTAGCATACATGTGTCTAACACAGAATCGATGCTCCACTCCAGGATACTTATTCTCAATGCAATCAATTAATCCCTGACATAAAAACATAAATAACAGATTAGTGAAAGGAGTGAGTGAGGAATAAAGGAAAGTAAATCAGATTGTAGTGGTGCTGACCTTTTGTCTATCTGATAGAAACACCCAACCCCTTTCAATTGGAGTGCCAATGGCATCAGTAAGGCTGTCCAAAAACCACCCCCAACTATCTTTGCATTCAGATTCAACAAGTGCCATAGCAATTGGGAACATCTGGTTATTAGCATCCCTACCAATTGCAGACATAAGCTGTCCTCCCATGATCCCCTTAAGGTGACATGCATCCAGTCCTATTACAGGCCTACATGCATTTACAAAACCTTCTTTTTGTGCAGTAAACATCAGAAACATTCTCTTGAAGATTGGACTTTTACAAATATTGGACTTTTCAGTTACAATAAATGCCACTGAACCTGGATTTCTTTGTAAAAGTGTAGCACAATAGTCTCTTAATCTTGCATACTGCTTTGCACATGACCCTTTCACTGCTTCCTCTGCTTTCTCTCTTGCTCTATACATTTGAGAGTTTGTACAGTTCAGGTTATACTTCCTTTTTATGCTCTTCTTGAACCCTTTTACTTTCATATCCGGATGGTCAGCAATCTCCTCCATAAACATCCTAGACAGCCACCTAGAATTTGCACTCTTGTTCTTGAAAGACCATGGACATCTATGAGGTACGCCTTTAATGGACTTCACTTGAAGTGTAACTTTGCTTCCATTATAGCCACTAGCATATATTCTCCATCCACATTTATTTGAACATATAACCACAGCTTTATCTTTGTCATTCTTAGTGAAGGTAACTTCAAACCCATTCAAAATTGAATACATTCTAACTGCAGCTCTAAAATCATAAATATTGCTAAAAATTCTGCCTACAGTCAATTCAGGATTTTTGAGATCCCTTTCCATGTTAAACTCAGGAAATTCATGCTCCATGCCTTCATCATTTGAATCATAAACTGGTTTAAGTATTTCATCATCACTAACATCTTCATCATCGACCAGTTTTCCATGACCTTTGGAGTTAAGGTATGCATTATATTCTTCACTAATCAGTGCCACATACTTAGCATAATCAGTCTGTTTTAGGTGACAATCTACTTTACCACCATCCCTCTCTACATCATCTATAGGGTCACATGCATCATTTAAATCATCCCCATCTAGGAAAAAATCAAAGTCAGAGTCATATTCAACTTCCCTACAACCATCCCTATCACCTTCCTGTGAAGCATCTGAAGCATCACTTTCGGCCTCATCATTTTGGGGTTGATCAGCATTAGGATTTAGATTTTGTTTACCATTAACCTCAATATTATCCTCTGCAACAGTTCTATCAGCATGCAAATCTTCTTCAGGGATCTCACCAACATAAAGTTGTATGATGTTTTGAGTTCTATTTGCCTCAAACATTTCTATAACAATCTGGTCACTGTTTACCAGTTTAAGACCAACCTTAAAGTCAAGATTCCTAACCCTATAGTACACCTCTGTTTCATGTGATATTCCAGCATCTTTAAAAGCATCTCTTAACTCAAAAATTGACATCAAATCAGGGTCAACATCATCAAAATTAGCAACTTCTCCCCCCACATACTGTAAATTTGGGACATAGGCAAAATGGCCTCCGTAATGAACCTCTAAAACATAGGTTTTGAAGTCCATTCTTCTGTAATCACACAAAGGTAATTGTTTTTAGTGCATGCACAGGTAATACAGAGCAAGTATCTTTTATTGTCCCACAAAAATAAAAAAATCCTAGTTTGTCTATATAACAGCCAACATATAACCATCCAAATAAACAAAAAATCCAGCAAATTAATAATTAAAAAAGACAAACCCATCGTTTTCCATCCTAACCCGACAATGACTTGTTATGAACTTTAAGGGACCACACTAACAGATTTCAAACAAATAATTGTCTACATATTAAAGCCCATGCAGTCATTAAAAAAACCCATACCATTGTTTCTATGCAATAAAATTGATTAACAATTAGAAATTTCTAAAATCGAGAAAAAATTGCAAAATCGAACCTCATAGATCTGCCCAAGCTCTCATAATCTCCTTTCACAATCTTCAAATTCAATTCTGCCGTCTGTTAACAACCACATCGCTTACCCATTTTTTCATTCAAGATTGCACCAGAATTTTCAATTTTGTTAGTGGACGTTTTGCTAAGGCTTCGGGCACCAGTGAAGAGAAAGTAAGTAACCCGACAAAGAAAAAAAGGAAGAGAAAGTGACCCGACATAGTCAAAAGGGGACCTTTGTCTGTTCTGTTCCCTAATTTCTTTTTCTTTTTCTGTCCCATGCCAGATGGAGGGAAATTTCCCTCCATTATTTCAGGGTAATTTTGGAAACTTGCATTTCATAAACCAGCGTATATGGGTATTTTGGGTTGTTCAATGTTTTCATAAGGATATTATTGTCTTTTCAATATTTCGTTTATGTCCATTAGAGTTGACTGTTAGTTTTTGGGGTAGACTGAGGAAAAACAAACGTTGGGGGGTAAAGTGAGAAACGGCCTATACTTAAATGGGATAAAGTGCGATTAACCCCTAAATCATCGCTCATCCACCCCGCCAGTCTTCAACCAGCGCAGAACTTTATAACTGGCCCTGGCGATGAATAGTGGGCCTTGGATAGAAAACCAAAAAATGGGCTTCCCAGATTTTGGGCTTTTTCTTTTTTTTTTTTTCTTATTTTCGTTTTCTAAAATCTTGAAGAAGGCCTGCTTCAACGCCCAAAATACACAGGGCGACAATTAGCAAATTATCTTGGTAACCTCTAAATTTTTATGAATAATCGAGTTTTGACAACTCAACTATTAATTAGTACGTTTTTATCTACTGAATTATTAAAAATATAAATTTGGATCATTCCGTCTGATTTCACTGTTAACTTTGTCAGATCCAACTTTTTATAGTATGTCTCGTAAATCGTGTGAACCCTTACATCCGGCAAAATCAACGGTGGAATCAGATAAAACGACCTAAAATTTACACATTTGATAATTAAGTGGATAAAAACATATTTTTAACAGCTGAATGGTAAAATCTTGACTATTCAAAAAGTTCAGTGGCTATCTAGATAATTTGCTTGTGAGACAATTGGGAAATTAGGGAATTAGACGTTAGTGCATGGGATTCTTGGTGCTACGTTACACAGGATTTTTCTTTGTTTTTTGGGATTCAAAGAAGACTTACAAGGGGGAAAAAAGGAGAGAGGGCCGAAAGTCATAATCATCTGTTATACCCCCTGAGGTATGTATTGAGAACGTGGTCATATGACATGGTATGAAAAAGCATTTGAGGAGTCCAGAGATAATTAGACGTGAGAGTTGGTATTGGGTTACTCAAATAAGGAGCTGCTAAAACCTATTCTTCACGAATCACATGCTTGTTGAAGAATATACTGATGAGCTGGGTACATAAGCTGATTGAGATCAAGATCTTTGTTCATGAAAGAAATTAATTTGCATGGACCATTAAAAAAAATAACTCATGACGATTCTCTATTCCTAACTAGAGAAGGATATTGATCTTTTACCATTGCATGAAAAACTTGAAGTATAAATTTCAATAGGTACACCATGAATAACCATCAACAGAATGATCAAAAGATATTGAGCCATTTTCCACATCTGGGGGAGGTAAGTGTAGGTTTGAAACTTGAGGGGAGCTATGCGAAATTGATAATTTCTATGTTTTTAAGCGTTCACCTTGTCTTGGTGGGCTAGGTGCAGTTAGCTTCCTAATGCAATTTTTCCCTTAGCATTCAAGTTATCCTCTCTCTTCCCTTTTCTCAATTTCTTGCCCCTTGAATCATGACACGACTGTTGAGCGGAAAAAAGAAAAAAAAAAGAAAAAAAAAAGGTGCCATAACAAGTGAGAGACGCTCTTAAATACCTGTTCTTTTGTACTACTGAGTATGCCTTAAACGCTTATTTCTCAGAAATTATTGGCTATGTAGCCTTAAGAGCCAATTTTCCCTTGTTTTAAGTATCATGGCTTTTGTGCATTTTTCTATCTTCCTTTGTTTCAGTTTTAGTCATCTTTTTTTTTTGTTTGGTTCAAAACAAAAAAGTCCAATGTGGTGTACTTAATACACAAAAAAGCCCCCTATAATTTCAAAACATACAAAATGGCACCTCATGTTTTGAACTAAATTATAAATTAACATAATTCGTTAAATTTAACGAAAATGACGGTCTCGACTGTTAAACTTACCGGATTTCGTTAAATATAACGAATTTTGTTAGTTTACAACTTAATTCAAAACATGAGGTGTCATTTTGTATGTTTTAAAATCACGGAAGGCTTTTTGTGTATTAGGTATACTACATGAAACTTTTTTGTTTTTAACCCTTTTTTTTTCCTGGGATGAAACCTCCAAGTCCATGGACTAACACATTCATTGGGATAATGTTCAATACAAAAGAAGAGGGGCATCATGATTCCCTGCATTCTGATTCATTTCTTTCTTCAAGAACAATGAAAGTCTTATCATGTAGTGTTAAAGGAAAGATAAAGTAACAAACATACAAAGGTGTGGCACAACAATACATAAAACTAATGTGGTGACATTGATTTCAGGATAAGAAATTAAATGTAGTTAAATTCCTTAGACATCAAAAGCAAGCATTGCAATCTCTAGGGAGGTGGAGGCCATGGCTCAAAGAGTGGAGGGCAGCAACATGACAACAAACCACAGCAGGATAGAAACCAGAGGCTGCAAAATAAAAATAATGAGTAGAAATCGTTGAAGCTAAATTTGGGCTTCAATTTTCTCTAATTAATTCCTCTAAGAAAAGGGAGAAAAGCTTACAATGATTCAAGACATCCACCGGATTGAGGAGTTTGAGGTGATAGAAGTGGTGCTTGACTCGGTGGAGGGTCTGAGGGTGGTGGATCCATGATTCTAGTGCATGGAGTCCAGTTAAGGAAAAATACACTTCTTTTTGGAAGAATCTATCAGTCTTTCTTTTATATTAGAGCGCCCCCCTATCCAGCTACCTTTCAAAGGCAGAATTAATTGGTTTGTGAAATTGTATCCTCCAACTAACAGTTGCTGCTTATGGATCATTAATATGAAGAAACAGAGAAAACTCCTTGGTAGCTGGTCAGGGAGTTATATTTCTCACCTGCCCATTGTCCGTGCTAACATCCTAAGCTTTGAGTTTTGTTAGGATTAAGCACATTTCCCTTTCATCAATTGCTGAAACTGCACTTGTAAATGATCTTGAATAACAAATCGTATACTGGTGAAGGTTGTCCTTAGCTACAATCCAAACCATATCTGATGCCTTTTTTTTTTTTTTGTGGGGGTGGGAGGGGGGGGGGGTGAAAGGACGGAGTCAACTAGGTGAAATGAGGGTTGACAAGTAGAAGTATGCACGTGTGATCGCTCAATCTGAGGTCTGACCAAAACAATTCTAAAATCAATTTAATTAATTCATAGAAATGAGTTAGCCATTTAAAAGCCAGCTAGCCCATACGTGTTAACGAACTAGTTAGCTCGAGGTTGAGAGTTAAAATCCTAGCACAAAAAGATTAGATGTCATTTTAGATCAAATATATGCATTTGTATCGATCATAAGTTAAGTTAGTTGCAATTTAATACTCTAATTAGACAATAAGAAACGTTCTAAATATCACTAATGATTTATTTTTTCAATATTGAAAGTTTTATAATTTGTTTCTATATTTAATAGTTCATAGATAATTAAAAAAAAACGTCAATAATAGCCACGTACTGTAAAAAAAATTATTATTTTAAGGTACAATTAAATCGTAGTTAATATTCAAGAAAATAATCATAAAATTTGTACTCTATTCACATAATTAAGTAATTACTTGTGCTCATGCTACTGTGCATTTAACCAGAACAAGAACATAAGAAGGTCAAATAATACAAAAATTCAAATAATCAATACATTCCGAGTTTTGCATATCAATTAGTAAAATATTCATTTATAAATCATTATCATTATGAGTGTGTAATTTATATACATACGAACAGTATAAGGAAAAATTTATAATCGTAACCAAAAAAGGTTAAGAAGCCCATAACAAGTATAAAAATTCCAAAAAAACAACTTTACTTTCTCTAAAAATATATAATATGTTATTATTTTGAGATTTCACAGTAATGAATATTGGTGCACCCGCAAAGCCTGGGGCGCTCCGTTCTCCTTTCTAAAAGACGGAGGAATGCTATGTGTTGGATAGAAATTTCTTAGAATAACAATAGAGCACTTTCTGTGATAGGATGTGTGTGGTAAAAATATAAAAAAATAATTTAAAAAATGTTTATAATGCAATTAAAAAAAATTTAGCAAATACTTGACTATCCAAACAATATACATCATTTGGCATTTGCCAAGGAAAAAAAGGTTTGTAAAATAGTTAATTTGGAGCTCTTTCTCTATTTTCCTTGGGCAAACCACTATTTTGTCCCTAGATAAATTAGGGTTGTCAATGGAGTCGGTTCAGCCCCGAATCCGATCTGTTCAGCATGAAAAATGCTCACTGAGGCTAAAATTTAATTGGGTTGTGTAGAGTTTGGACCCAAATATGAAGTCCGAACTAAATGTGAGCCGAACTTAGGTCATGCTGAGATTAGATTTGAATAAGACCCAAGCTCGTGTATAAGTATAATTATATATATATATATAATATTGTAATATCTATAATTTATAATCATATTATGACAAAATGTTAATAATTTATATATAAATTTGTAGTAATTCATAGTTATAAAATATATATCATATATAGTTATATATTTAATTATGAGTCCGATTTGAATTTGAAATTCATATAATAGTGTGAGTTGAGTATGAACTTGTTAATTTGTGAACGAAACTCAAAAGCCTAAAGTCCGAAAACTAATATAATTTGTAGGTTGAATTTGGACTTGCCAACACTTTGCTTCAGAAAGCCCAATTGATACCCATGAGGCAAATCGCCATGCTACCCTATTCTTGTTTTTCGACCATCCCTTTCTTTGATTTATGCTCGCTTCGGGGTTTACCATCGTTGCTATGCTATCTGTTCCTTAAATTTCAGGGTGTACACTATAATGTTTTTGGGATTCCAAATTTCATCTCTTATCCTACTATTACCTTTTCTCACGTTTAGTTGATATTTTTCTATCGTGATCCGATCTTGCTTCAACTAGTTTACTGGTATATTTATCTGTTGCTTCAACTAGTTTACTGGGTTTTCCTGACAAGTTGATGTGGATCAAAAAATTGTGTATCCACAGCTCATTTTGTCTCTATGGGTCCCTTGTGCATTTTTTCCAAATTAAAGAAGTTTGAGGCAGCGGATCCAGTCCCCTTACGTTTTTCCTGATTACAATGGAAGTGAAGTTGTCTCTTGTTCGAACATAACATTGAACAACAGGGCTTTGATTTCCACCCAAAATGCAGGATAGTGGAATTGTCTCGCGTGAATTTTACACGAGATCTTTCATCTTATCAGCAGCAAGTACTACTTGAGCCTTTCAGCTTGTAATTTCTGATGAATATTCAGGAGAATTCCTCTGAGAGATCTGGCCCCTTATCTCATCTAGATTGAGCTTCAGGAATTGCCAATCTTTGTTACAGAAGCTGCAGAAAAAAATTCAAAGTTGGGCAAACTGGAAACCGAGTTATGCCACGACCATAGAGTGTCTTGTGAGCCATAAATTGCACATGATAAAATTTCTAACCAGTAACCACAACGTTGAAGAATGGAGATCTTCTGTTATTGTACTTTCTAAGTACCGCTGAAGCTAAAACAATAGAAAAACGGTTGAAACCAATACTAGTGAAAGAGCAATCCTGCTTCGTCCAGAATACCTTAAAAAATGGGAAACACGTATAATCAAGAGGTAAGCTAGCCATTCGATAGAGACTGACGGCAGCAATGGAAGAAATTGCCGTGGACACCAATAATGCCCCCAAGTTTTAAAATTTTATGGACATGAAATTCAAGAGGTTTCTGTACAAGTTTGATATTACATCTATAAAGAAAACACTTAAAGAGCGCCTCTAACAAGGTATTTACATTGAACTCTATGAAAAAATAAAGAAATGAATTACCAGTAAGATAATCTGACAAACATCTGATTTTCCAGGAAAAATGAAACCAGACCGCAATCAGAGCTCCTTACCATCGAGTGAAACAGCATATATTTCACTATGGAGACCTACTGATAAGCATCTGCTGTTTGTTGCAGTTTCCAACTGCATCGTGCAAATGCAGTTACTGGACATTGACATTGGACATACAGAATGATTCATAACGGGGTTCAGTTAAGTCCACTGCTTCATCCTCTTGCGAATGCCAACTTCTAGCACCTGATGATAGAAGAATCAATTTCTCTATGTACTCAACAGAAACAGGATCTGCTACTTTCTCATACTCTTCAAGACATGGTTTAGAGCTGACGTCTAGAGCAAATGACTCTCCACCTAGATTTTTATCCAACATTATGTGCTTTATCTCCTCGTTCTCAACAGGATCAAAAGTAAGTTTGTTTATGGATCCACTTCCCTTGACACCGCTAAATGAGCTCTGCATAAAATGTGAAAGATGCAAGGTAGAATGTGTCAATCTACCAAGCCAGGAATTTGTTTAGGTTTTAAAAGATAATGTGGAAGCATCAGGTTGTTGTACTGAGATTTTATGTTTCATGCATACTCAGGGGAGTGCCATTGCTAACAAATTACGAAGAAGAAAGCATACAGCATTTTAGGATATAAGAAAAGGTGGGAAAAGGTTTAAGATGGTTATTTGAATGCTTTACAAGTTGGTTTACAATGAGACATTCTGGTGAACAATTATAACCAAAAGCCAAAATGTTGCCTTATTGGAAATTCTTGCTGACATATTAATTTTTATTTATATGAAAGATGAATATCCTTGGTCCGCAACTAGAGTTCTACTCAATAACTGCTAGTTCAAGTTGGTTTATCAACTCAATGAACCAAGCCTGGCAAGTTCGGCCGAGCTCAGTTGAGTAAACAACCACCAATGTACATATAAAAGGGCTAAGCTACCTGAGCTCAACTAGAGCGTGGCTCAGTACAAGAAAATACTTGAGCCAAACTTGAACACAATTTTCAAGATCATTAAGACTCCAAACAAGTTTGGAAATACTAGTCTCATTTTCGTTTAGGCTTGTCTAGACCAATAAGTTTGATGTGGTGATGGGCAAATTTCATCAAATTTGAATTCTTTCTTAGTATTTCATTCTTTCCACATCAAATTTGATAAAATGAATCAAACTGTCACTTGATGGTACATAGAGAACGATCTAATTATCATGTTAAAAGTCCTAAATGTGCAAAACCTGGAGTATCATGAACCAATGTCATTTCATAGCTATACGGTAAGCATCATGAACTGTAATAGTTTCCGAGTATTGATACCTGAAATAATTGTACAGACATGTTCTTTCTCTTACATTTCTCTGGTGCAATAGTAGAAAGAATTTGGACCACTTCACTCATGGTTGGTCGAGAATCAGGATCCAATAACAGGCACTCCTTGGCTAAATAAGCCATAATCTGCATCTCTTCTTCATTGAAGGTCCCTTTCAAACGTGGGTCTGGCAACTCTGAGGTCACCCGCCTACTGTCTAGCAATCGAGGTGTCGCCTGTAATAAGGTCAAAAATGTAAAAACCAGCACCTCTAATTAAATGGATCTCATTGCATTTCGAAGCTTTAGTTTCTAACTAACTATTATCTTGCAATTTGTAGGCATAAATTTTTGGCAAGTTTTTTCCATAGATAACTTGTCCAAATAATCCATACCCATATCACAAGGCTCTCTTCCCCTTTACTATCAGATTTCTGGATGGGCTGCCGTCCACTAATCAATTCAAGTAGAACCACCCCAAAACTGAAAACGTCTGACTTAAGAGAAGCTCTTCCAACAATTGCATACTCTGGAGCAAAGTAGCCAAAAGTACCCTGCATTTTTGCTGGCGAGCTGGGACAGCTGGGAATTCCATCACTGTGAAGCTGCTTTGCCATACCAAGATCGGTGATCTGTGACAAATATTAATATGTCAACAGGTAGATTGAAAAAAAAGAAAGATTTTCGTTTGAACCAAAATCAGATATATTTAGACATTAACAATCATCAGCTTGATTAACTCCTGCATGAAAAAGAAAATTTTAGGTTGACGAAGTCTAGTTGCATGGCAATCTTTTGTATCTTGCTTTTCAATTTGCAGTGCATATTTTGACTGGTTACAGACCTTTGCTCTCCAATTCTTGTCCAAGAGTACATTTGTGGATTTGACATCTCTGTGCAATATTCTTGGTGCAGCTGCTTCATGAAGATACTCCAAGCCCCTTGCAGCTCCAAGAGCAATTGTGACACGAGTACCCCAATCCAAACAATTTCCTGAAGCCCCATCCAGACACTCTCTCAGGTTACCATTGGACATATACTCAAACACAAGCAGCCTTTCTGCATGTTTTCCTCGGCGTTCTGAGCAGTAGCCAAGCAAAGGGACCACATGACAATGATGCAGTCTTGCTATCAGTTCTATCTGCACAGAAAAATGTGTTTAAAATTTAAAACTACTGTGTATACATAATACTACATCTTATTATCTATTACCTAATCGGTTAGCATCACAGTAAATTCCACATGTGGTGATATTATTAGCAGTTTGAAATATTACCTCTGTGAGGAATATGGATTCTGCATCAGATCCCACCAGAGTTTTCATTCGCTTTATTGCCACAACTTTACCGTCCTTGAGATGGCCATGGTATACATGGCTGCTTCCTCCGACTCCAATCAAATGAGAATCAGAAAACTTGTTTGTTGCACTTTCCAATTCAGAATAGGAGAACTCTGTGATTGTTCCTTGCAATGCCCCAGACTTGTTTCTCAATAGCAATGACGCCTTAGGAAAGCATCCTAGAGAAAGCAAAGATATAGCACAAAAAAGTGAAAACGATGTCAGATGACAGAAGATCCAACTCTACCTGAATTGGTATTCTATATTGAAATTGTTACTAATTGACAATATTGCTAATCATACAATTAACTTAAGCTCCTTTAAGAAAACAACTAGAATAAAAATTTTCATTGACCTGCTGTAGATTTAACCCGGGTACTAAATAAGCCTCCGTATGTTGGAAAGTAAGAAGCCCCTTGGCTGATTAAGCTGGTGGCACTGTTACAACTTGTTTGTTTATCTGATGATTGTTTATCTGATGAGAATAATGATCGATGGGTATGCCATTTATCCTTTCGATAGATGTAGCACAATAATGAAGCTACAAAAGCTAGAGTTGTCAGTGTAATGCATATTAAGAGAATAATTATGAGAACTTTGCTGGTGATCCGCTTCTTCGAAGACTGCTCTTCAATCCAAGCCCCTTATAACACAATTAAAGCGTAATTAGTACAAATTAGATTAACTACTTTGTGAAAACTAAAACATATCAATCATAAAACGTCAATAGCATCATCAAGAATAGATAGATCCAGTTTACATCCTCTCTATTTATCCCCCCTGAAGTTTTGGGGTAAAAGAGATACTCCAAATTTTCAACAACATACACAGGAAATTGAACTCTTTGCGAGAAAAATGAAGGATGTACTCTTTTCTAGTAAAGAGTGCAGAAGCTGGAATCCTTGACACTATGCAATGTTAAGGTTCTTCAATCTACTGATGCAATTGAAAGACCATTCTGTTCATAATATCATTGAGAAGAAACTAAGTGGTTTCTTGAACTTCAACACAAATACTTATTCAACAATTATAAACTTGCTGGATGGAACTCTAACAATGCATAGCCCTGTGCAAAAATAGACAGCCTTGGAATTAAAGCAACTCATAGACTGTATGGTAGTAGACTCAAGGCAGACCACAGCACAAAGAATTTCTATAGTTCTAACTCCAGGACCACCATGTACAGCTGTTTCTACAGGCGTAATCAAAGGCTGCCTCTGATATACTATATGCTTAACATGACTGGGATAGTTTTGGTCATAAACAGAGAGACATTTCCTGCTGGCAGGACCAGAGCCAAAAGAACTTGCTCAAAATGCTACAATGCCATTGGCTCAGGCTTGTGTACTACTCACACCTCAGGTAATTTGCCTATTTGGAGTTACACTACAGGAGGTGCTCAAGATAACTGATATGAATCATATGACTTAGGGTCTGTTTGATAACATAAAAAAATGCTGAATCTGAACTTTTTCAGACATTCAGATGTTTTGAGTATTTGATAAATGAAAATCCATTTGCTGAATTTGTTAAGTAGTGCTGAACTTGTGTGTATTTTTTCAGCACAAGAATCCTAACTGAATGCTTAATTCTAATAAGAATCAATAGAATTACTTCAACTCTCTTATCTTATCTACCAAATCTACTCTTGTTTATTAATTATATTCAAAATTTCTATCTAATTAAACAACTTGATATTCTCTATCTAATGACTTTCTATTTCTCTTTTCTACCTTTTTAATGACTTTCACATATTCTCCATACTCATCATATAATATATTTCATCTTTTTTATTAATTTGATTTAAAAAAAAATATTGTCATTTTCATACCTAAAAATTTTAAGCTAATTAAATCATAGGTTCTATTTCTTTTTTGGATGAAAAGATATAAGGGCAAAATTGTTAAATTTAACTTATTAAGTATTTAGCTATGAATGTTTATCAAACAGTATAAATATATTCAGCATTAAAATTCATACATTCATATATTTCTTTTTAGTGCTTAAATTTCAGTAAATTAATTATTTCAGTATTCAGATTTCAGAATTCAGACTTCAGAATTCAAATTCAGCTTTATCAAACGGAATCTTAGATGATTGAGGATACATTTGTACTTTATCATAATGCCAAAAAAGAACATACTGGTCATACAAAAGCTAATGTAGATGTGAAGGTTGAGTTGGCATTGCCTAAGTTCTGCTAATGGACAATTTTGTGAAGAGAAATTTGAACATTTTGTAGTGGTTTGCTCTAATACTTCAAGATGGCTTGGAAAAGCAAAATACCAGAACTGCACTTGCATACAGAAAAACAGCTGGTGTAATTGTTTCCAGTAGCCACTTTAGGCAGACCATCTGACGCACATAGACACATCCATCTGTTTTCACCAGAGCCTCCTGTAGCTGCACTAAAACAATAGAACTCAGATCACATTTTCTACAAAGATATTCTGTAGATATAAACAATTTTAAATTCATGGCATTAGATATACAAATTTTAGACTTCAAACCCATGTACAAAGTCCAATATCAAATGCATAAATTAGCAAAATTCTCTTTAGTTTCTGAAAACTTAAATCTCCCTGCATCGAAAATTCAAACAAGGTCATAGCCATTCATTGTCTTTAGAGGTTAAGCATTCCTTTGAATTCAACTTGTCAGCACATGACAATTTCTTCAAGAAGAATAAACATGTTACGATGTATTTGAGACAATGAAACCTCACAAACACAAGTATTCTTTATTAACATTAAAGTGTTGCTACATCTACAGATTGGTGGTTGAAGATGAAACTAACGTTAAGTATTTGACCAGTCCTCCTGTATGTTTAACAAAAGATATTTCCAAGCATAAAACATATCTCCCCCAATTCGGAACAGATGGTGATGTATTCAGGTCTAGCTATAACGAGCAAAAACAAATACTTCACTTTTTTTTTTTATCATTTATCCTCTGAAAAGTCTTGCCAAATTTTACTTGTTAAAAAAAAGTTTTCGTGCTGATAGGACCAGCAACATACCGGGATTGCAGTCACAAGATGAATAGCAGCTTGTGGGGACAGCAAAAGTCAGATTGCTTTGGTCATTAGTAGAACAGCTGCATGTCCAGTTGCTTGTTTCAGATGTATTTGGATATCCATCTACCACTGAGAAATGCAAAGAATGATAAGCATATCTTTTTCAGAAATGTTGTCCATACAAAGACTCCTAACACATGGACCTCCCAAACAAGAAAATGTGCACTTGTCTTCGCAAATTACCACCCTATCATGATAATTCAAGTACTACAAGTTACAGCAGAAAAAGAAATTAGCCTTTTAATTTCATGGCAATGACATAATTGCAGAACTCTACTCGGCCTTTTTGAGTTCTCACTCAATGGATGTGAAGAATTGATCAAGCAGTACTATACAGCTAAATACGAACCAGAAAAACCTTGCTGAATCCAAACCAGATTAATCAGACAAAGAAGAACTCTTTCCACTTGTAGCCTCATTTTCCCAGTCCAACTTGCGTACTTCTTGCACTGGGAGGATGGAAGAGGAAGGATAAGATACTGGAAATTTTGTTAGTTCAGAATAATCAATTGCTTTCTGGTGAAACACCATGAAAATATTTGAATCCACAGAGAGAAACAGAAGGAGAAAGAGATTGTTTTTCATCTGTATATATCTAAATCATCATATTTAGCATGGATACTATATGAACAATTGATCTCAAGCAATTCTTTTCACAGATTACAGAATTCAACTAGTCTGAAAAGATGGAAAAAGAAAACTCACATTCACTTGGCACACTTTAAATTTCAAGTCAATCTCTTGATTGCCGGATGACTATGGAGCACATCTTCATTATTCTGAAAAAAATTAAATCGCTAAGTTTTAGGTAGAATATCCATCACTAACTCTTGAAAAGATATGCCTTTACAGTGTCAAGAATTCAGAATCAATGCATTTATATATTACGTGAGCGTACTCATGATATAGGAGAGGGTGGGAAGTTGAGCTTAGAGAGAGAGAGAGAGAGAGAGTAGTTATCTCAAAGAACCAATCCACATTAAGCTGATATTCACTTACTATCTTGTCCATAATCACCAACAAAATAACAGCTATCCAGTAGCTTATAAAGGATGAAATTCCACTGATATAAAGAATTTCAACCGATAGACAGAGATATAAAGCTCTAAACACTTCAAGATAGCAAGTGAAAGCTTTATATCCATGTCAAAGCAACATTTAATTAACTAAACTCATAGAGATTCAGAATTTAATGAAGGTCAAATCAATTAAAATTATGAACAAGAGAAAAAGAAGATTTACGAACTAGATGGAGACAAAAGCCATCAACAGAGGCAAAGAAATATTTTTCCAAAACAGTACATGAAAATAAACAAGCACTAAAGTCTATGTTACATGTAGGAACAACTAAACATGGTTGGCCACCAAATACACTTTTTGCTTAACGTGCATTCTGAAACATTTTTACTGCTATCTTGCACTTTTGCAACACGTTAACAGCATTGGTTTGATCTAAGTCAGAAGCTAGTTCTACATCTACATAGTGGTTTTCTTGTAAAAGAACTTAAAATCAGGCTCTAACATTCTACATTTAAATCCTATGTAGATGAAGCAAACATACTAGAGAAAATTACCTGCAAGATGAAATACAATACTGAAAGATAAATACAATGCTTTAATTGCAAATTTCATAAAATACTCAGCTTGGAACAATTGTGTTTCCAACTCTGGAGCAATTGATTATATCTTAAAAGCAGGAGGAGATTAACAAAGCAAAAGTTGTACCACAATTGGTTTAAAACTCTCAAGCTTTTCAGACTTGAATGAGTATCATCTAGGAAGTCATCTAACATTACGCAGTCAAATAACTTGTAATGCTGTGATCACTAATGTACGGTCGAAGCTATGGAGCAAGATCAAACTTTATCATCACAAGACTTCATAGTTGCAACACGGCATTCAAGGTTCTTTGGAAGTCGTCACTCAATGATGACCAAGCCCATCAAAGATAGAAGATACAACATAAGCTTTCGAAAAAAAGGGTATACAAAAGAGACATCTTTCAATAGATATACAAGACAAAGACTGAGGGGTATCTGTAAAAGTCCCCTAGAAACCAGATAACAAAGAAAAGTATATGTGTTACTACTTTAATACACCTTTCTCCAGTAATCAAATGCCATGAAAGCAACTCTTTTTCAACTGTGAAAGGGACCCTCAACAATATCACTAAAGACTAAAACATAAAACCAATAAAATAATTAAAACCTCATAATCTATTAGTATATCAAGATCCTGTAAGTTCTTATCTTTTGGCTTCAGCGATTTTAAGCTTGAAAAGGGAAGATTTCAAATATTAGAACAGGCAATCATTTGTACGTATACCCCAACGGTTAGAAAAGACTTAGCTTCAAAGACATAATACTCTGTAAGGAGGGACATCAACGCACGATTGTAACTACTCCAGACTAATTTTGCGTTTTTGGTTTGATCTTTAGAGTGAGTAGATGACGTGCGAAAAAGACTTGAATTGTTTGTTTATGGCAGGGTCCTACGACCTCTAGTGTCGGCTGTAGAGTGAAACATGGCTAGACTGAGATGTTGTCCAAGGACTCTTGTTTAGCTTTTACTGTTATTATTATTATTATTATTATTGGATAAAAAGGTCAATGACCTGATGCCGATCATACTCCCCTGCAATAATTTGAGATAGAATAATTAACATTCAAAGGGATCCACCACCTCATCTACCAAAATCGTGATAATGATAACAGCTATTAAAAGAACCTATACATCGTCAGCTAGTGAGTCAATTCCAATCTACTGTTGGAAAATGTGGCCGTTTTCAATTAAGGGGTTACCATCCCACTAAAATGACCAGTTGAATAGGAACCATGAATAATTGTTGCTTAATGCAACTCTTGAAATTTGTCCTTTTACACACAGAAACACCCAAAAAAAACGACTAAATAATGAACAAATTGATGCACTGTAACGACCAAAGGATTCCACCTTAAACACTCATTAGAGGGACAAAGAATCATTAACTACAATCGACTTAAAAAACACAAGAAAACTGTAGAAAATGCATCTCACAACAAACTACAAAAAAGGGTGGTGGTGGGTGTTTGGGGGGGGGGGGGGGGAAACAAACTTCAACGTAACAGAAGTTTGAGAGAATAACACAATTGAGACCGTGAATGTACAGGATTTATATTAAGGCTTGATTTAGTCATAGCGTAATAGAAGTTTGAGAGAATAACACAATTGAGACCGTGAATGTACAGGATTTATATTAAGGCCTGATTTGATCATGAAAAAAAAGTCAATCTTTGCAACAGTATGGAATAGCATAGGAAAATGCTACACCCCACCCCACTCCCCTCCCAAAAAAAAATGCATAGGAGGATGCCGTTTTTTGACTTTACATAAAACGGACTAGGAGAAAAAGGGGCAAAAAAAAAAAAGAAAGGAAAAATGTGCTGTCGATCATCAGTGGCCTAGGACCTTGGCAATTAAGGAGCTGAAGTCCACGACATTACTTTGGAAAGCAAACTGGATTACCAAATTAATTGCTCAAAATATCTGCAAACGAAGGCAGCTGAAACTAATTTTACTAGCAATCATTCAAGCTCTTTTATAATAGTACTTTATTAGATTGTGATCATTATGGTATCCATAATAAACCACGTTAACGTCTACCGTCACATCTTTAAAGCGCAAATTTAATGCACCACCGCTACTTTTAGACGGAATTTTCAAATCGAAAATTGATTAACGAAGCCGCATTATTATTATTAATCACACTATAAAAGAAAAGCACATTGCTAATTATTAGCCGCCACGTCACAGTCCCGTTGAACCCCCCCCCCCCAAAAAAAAAAAAGGCAACGAGCTTCGCCAATTATTCTTCAACTACTACTTTTTTTTTTTTTTCAAAAATAAAGGAAAAGAAGAAGAAGAAGGAGGAGCAAGTAAAAATACCTCAGTCATACAAAAATGAAATTCAAGATTACGAACTTACATCCGGCGATAAAACAGAATTCGAAATCCGAAATATCAGCGCTTTCACTGTTCAATCTCTTTACTTGCATATGCCCACCGAAGACGAGCTCTGAGCTTCAGTGCCGAAGACGAGAATGAAACGAGAGCGCTTCAGTGTGTGAGTGTGTGAAAAAATTCAGCTGAAGAATGGCATCAGGAAAAAAATTTAAAAAAAAACTCAAGAAATATTCCAGAAAATAGAAACGGGGATAGAGAGAGAGGGAGAGAGATGAAAAATGACAGACAGAGAAGTGAAGTGTATTTATAAACGGAATGCCGAACGGAGGAATTCCATTTGGCAGCTGAAAGCAAAGTTACAGTCGGAGGTCGAGACGAGAGAGAAGAAGACGACAGAAGAGTGAGGACGTAACGGTAACGTGGTGAGAGGGATTTCACTTTCAGTTTCAGCTCAGCATCCCAGTGACCAAGGGCTGAGGTGGAGTTGAGCTAAGGGAGCAGGCGGGAGCTGCCGCTTTTGCGGTGATCTGATTTTGGGGACCCACTGGGTAATGCCACGTCGGCAAAGTATTGAAGAGTCTCGCGATGGATGAGCCAAATTTTTTGGTTCTTTGAAATGATTAATTAATGGGGGCTCCTGGCGTTGGATTTTGTTGTTTCTCGAATGGATTTCGTTTTTGGACGGTCAAAAAGTGATCCCGTACCCTAAGGGGCTGGGACCGCTCTAGAGCAACACAGCAGGGAGTAGTATTTTGGTACGGTACAGAGCAGTGGCGGATTTAAGACGGGGTACAGGGGCACGGGCCGCACTTGCTCCCCTTAAATTCCTACATTATTAATAAAACTTTGATATAATTTCAAATGTCACGTCAGAGTTTTTTTATAAAGTAAATGAAAGAATTACGTGATCTTTTAAATTGATTTATCTAATATTCTAAAATGATATGTGAGTCACAAAATTTCATTTGAAATAAGTTTAAAAAAACCTTTTCATTTTAACTTATTGGGAAATAATTTTTTGCATAAAAAACTAGAAAAAAGAGTAAGTAAAAAAGTTTAATATTACTTTTTTACTCCTGCTAAGAATTTTTTCTGGCTCCGCCACTAGTACAGAGCACGTACATGCAGCCTGGAGGCTGCAGAGTTGATCCGTGGTAGTGTACAAGTAGAGGAATTTTATATGAATGGATTTTGAACGAATTGATTTCAAATTCAATTTTATACTATCAAACACGATCTTGTTTGTTTGTTCTATAGCAGTGTCAGTTGATTAAGATACCCTTTGTTCGGATCATTGGCCAATACGAACACAGGAAGAACTGATCCAGATCTGATATTACGACTCGGAATGAATGTGCTTTTTTAGAGTTATATATATATATATATATAATCTCACAATTATTGCTACCTATTTTTCCAGTTTCGCTAGTACCACAGAGCTTGATTCTGGGTAAAATCAAACGTGAAGTGAGTAAGCACAGCAGGAATTCCCCCAAAACAGCCGCCTGGAAGGCTCAAAAACAAATTTAAGGTGCCAAGGGCTTGTTGAAAGCTGCAAATAGCCTGCGATTCTTATCTCCAAAGCCACGCAATTGTATTACGAATAATGACAGATTTTGCAGCATCCACTTTAGGCACACTCCACCAATCTAACTAGCATTCTTTTTTAAGTTCTTTTGCAGCATCCACATAGGCGCTTAGCCAACAAAGAATGCCAAAGGCAAAAGTAAATAACTCCGGAAAAAGAATTTTTTTTTTCTTCTTCTTCTAATGTAGACACGTCCGAAGAATCAAGAGAAGATATTTATATAATGAGTGAAGAATAATAACCTGTATTCCCACAATTAGAAAAGGCTATACCCCTGCATTCCTCCCCGAGGAGAAAAGCAACAAAATCTCCTTATATACAGACCATTTAATCAAACCTTGTGAACTCTCCCTTTCCAACCAATTCTGAGAAACCAAATACACCAGCTTTCCCATTTCTTTATTCATGTACAACCAACATTGAAGTATACCCATCACCTTGTAAACATCCAAAACTCTCTCTCTCCCTCTCTATCTCTCTCTCTTCAAGTTAGCTCCCACCATCCCAAAACTGAAAGCAAAATGCAGAACCAAAATAACGTGCATTTTAAGGAAAATCTACACCCTTGAGGAAAGTTTTTTCCCAGCAGGGCCCAGAGAATCACCTTGGCATTGGTCGAGCAGGAAATGATCGTACTGGCCTAAGTGAACGTCGTGGAGATGGACTCCCAATTAACATCGTTTGAGACCTGCTAACCATGTCCACCATCGACGGAGTTTGGTAAGCCTGCACCAGGCTTGTACTATCTGTGGAGTCGCCGCGGGCTGTCGCCCTTTGCCACGAGTGTGAGCTTAGTCCTGACAAAACATAGGCCCTGCCAGAAGTTTCATAAATTTGGCGATCTGCCATTCTCTCTTGCATTTCCCTCAACTCAGCATCCAATGCAATACATAATCTATCTCCAGCTTTGTGAGAGACAGAATCTGCTAACTGTTTACGACAATGCTCCAGCACAGACACGGCAGCTGCTAAATCGCCACCCTCAGCAGCAGCTCTTGCTTCTGCCATTGCCTCTGCTGATCGGAGCCTGTTTCGCTGCTTGTCCACCTCCATTGACACCACAAGTTGTCCTGTTGTTTCAGGCCTCAGAATTTTGACCTCAGCAGCATGATTCGCAGTTACTAACTCTTTTGATACAGGGTCCTTATAAACACACTTGATCTTTACCAGTGACATCTCATCACTTGATTTATCAACTGGAATATCCGTGGTTACTAGAAAATCTCTTTCTTCATCAGCATATAAATCTCCGACTTCAATAGACCCAATCCTTTCATTAGATATCAAACTGGTTTTGTAACTTCCTGCTTTTATTGAACTCAATCGCAATCTGGGGTGGATGCACTCCACCTGCACTAGCAATTCCTGCACCACAACACTCAAAAGGCCACCAATACATTGAGCAAAAGCATCTTGAATCACATCTTCTGCTTCTATGAAAGAAAATGTTCCCCCAGACGTTTCAGCGACTGAATGCATTGCGACAGCATCATGATCAGCACCAAATCCAAAAGTGTGGACAGGTATGTGGCTGTAGGCACCACTACCACGATGCATGGAAACTGGGAGCAAGAATTCGTAATTAGTTCGGCTATTCGCTGCACCAGGACTGCTCAAACTGTACGTGTCTTGTCCATCAGACAGTAGCATTATACTGCTAACAGGATTTTTAGACTTACGGTCAGTCATCACCTTGGCGCCCTTCTTTAGGCCCTCAGCAATGTTTGTCCCACCATTTGAACTCAGTGAATTAACTGCTTGTAAAGCTTCTTGTCTTCCGGTGTCGGTCATCCTGTGAAGTGGAAAGACACGGCGAGCAGTGGAGGA